AGGATGGATGGGGTAGACTAAAGATTAGCCGTCCGGTAACCTCAAAGACACGGCGAATCACAACGCTGTGGTTGTTTCACGCCGGTACTCTGTGAGGCTTTGGTATATCTCCAGTCGAGACGGCCCTTTGTTTGTCAACAGTTACACTATCCTTCCCTAATACCCAAAAGACCAACAAATTCAAAGTGTTAAGGATTTCTTTGATTACAAATTACTTATTAGATAAATTACCAAATTTGAAAGAAAGAAAGAAAGAAAGAAAAGACATTTATTCAGCACCAGGCACGATGCAGCATATAAAAGACAATAAAAGTGTGACAGTAGAAGTAAGACAAACATGAGTTAAAGATTAAAACAGATGAAACAGAAAATAGACGCTACAGCATGCCCATGCTAAATGGGTTACCCACTCAGTGTAAGCTAGGCATACAAGTCGCCCAGCTCTGATTTTCAGTGGGCACCCCTGCAGTGACGCATTTGCATGCTTAATGTTAAGCAAAACATATATGCATCATCACAAATAAATTGATTTGATTTGATTTGATCATTATAATTTCTGTACCATTCTTTTTGTACATGGTATCATGTTTTTAAGCAAATAAATATATTCTATTCAAACTCGTTACTATTTTGTGTGTTTGTATGTTTTAACTGTCCTCGCAGAAGAAGGATTCTTCTGCTAGTTTATACCTAATACGAAAAAAACATTTCTTTTGTAAGCTGACTGTACTTTAAATCAATTAATTCCTAGTTTTATTGCAGCCAAACAAGACACTATAAATTGTTATTTATTTGATTGATATTTTATATTGTTTGAATAGATAGACATGTTGACGTATTTGATATTCATAGCAGTGACGAATATTAATTTATAAATGAATACTTCTAATAAAATGCTAAAAAAGTGAATTCAAAATAAAAATAACCTTACATTTCTCGTATTATTCAACTGAGTGTAATTTGCCGATGCAAGTTTATTGAAAAAGTTTTAAATGGATTTTTTTATATGTTTTTTTACATTTGGCTCTTAAGAAATGATTAAGAAATTTTTATTCTTATCCTCAAAGGACCCTTTGATTATATGATATACCTAGTCTATAGGTAGCAATAGGGTCGTTCACAATCATGTCAAGACATCGATTTACGCTATCGAGGCCCTTTTTTATTTTTTTGTTAGAGGAAAATCATCTAATGACTTCTCCCGCCCAGGGTAAGGCGAGAGAGAGTGTCAGAGTGAGAGAGAGTCTTAATGACTAAAAACCCCCCGTTTCTTCTCCTGCTCTGGGCCGAGGTTGCGGTGCCTCATTGCGCTTACCCTGCAACCCGGCTGAGCTATCGAGGTCAGGTAATTTTCAGTAATTATTATTTTCAATCTTCTGTGTGACTGGCTCCACCGGAGTGATACCACGACCTCACAGAACACTGGCGTGAAGCAAGAATTCCGTTATGTATCGCCTTGTGATTGAAGTGACCTAATCCTTCCCCTCCTATCATCCATCCTCAAATCCCCTATCCTTCAATCTGTAATAATCCACAAGTGGCCGGCAACGCACTAGTACTAACTCCTTTGGTATTACGAGTGTGCATGGGTGGCACTGATTGTTTAACATCAGGTAATCCGTCAGCTCGTTTACCGATAAATGCCATTAAAAAGTTACTTGTCAAGTGCGTTAATTCCCAATTATAGGAATCAAATCTGCTACACTTCACAATGTAAGAAACCAAGAATCCCCACGTTAACGTTTCTAATTTCAGTTACAAACCAGAAATCATAAATAACAGTGCCACGGAAACAAACACAGTATGACTCAGATTAACACAGTCGGTTAAGTTCAATGCTCCGAAAGGTTATAAGCTGACCGATCGCCGCGAGTTCAGAAATAAACCACTATTTATATGAATTCGGGATATAAGTATATGTATATAGATAGTTATTTATACTCGGAATTGTAGAAAATGTAATGCGAAACAATATGAATGAAAACTATTTAAGATTTGACTGCACGGTTGGCGCGGCGGCTCGGCAACTGACTGCCGTGCAACGTGTCTAGGGTTAAATTCCCGCACGGAACAACTCTTTGTGTCATCCATAAAGTGTTGATCCCGGTCTGGGTGTTAAGTGCATGTGAAATTGTATGTTTGTAAACGCACCCACGAGACAAGAGAAAAGCACAGATTTAGGTAAAGTTTTTAAAAAAGAAAAAAATGAGTGGATTTTTTGAGTGCCTCGTTAGTTTAGGGATCACAATTTTGTGTGCGAGACAATAGCACTTAGGGTGAGGTTTGATGATTTTCATACCTTAAAAAGCTGTGAAAAGTGTGAGAGCGCCATATTTCGGCACGAATAGGTCGAGTGATACCACGGCCTCACAGAAAATTGGCATAAAAGACACACAGCGTTGCGTTTCGCCATGCAAGTGAGGTTACTCGAGGCCCAATCCCTAAATCTCCAAAACCCTTATCCCCTAAAAGTCCGTAAGGCACTCGTAACTCCCCTGTTGTTGCGGGTGTCCAAGACCGGTGCTGATTGCTTACCATCCGATAAACCGTCTGAAGTTTTACCCTATTGTCACATAAAAAAGAACTACCTACTCAATCACCAAGTCCTATATATGTTAAACTAGCTATTCTCACGCGGTTTCACCCGCTTCTCGGCTCCATTTCATCGCAGCATGATGTTTTACAGCCTATAGCACTCAGGAACATTGTAGCTATCTATCAGTGAAAGAATTTTGGAAAACCGATTCAACGGTCCCAAAGATTAAACTTACAAATTTTACCTCTTTATAATATTAGTATAGATCTATGTTTATTACGTACTACATATTATATCTATGTACCTATGTATATGGCAGTAGATATTTAAACACGTTCCTTTATCCATCGATAGAACTACACATAAAACTATGTAGGTAGGTACAGTCAATCATGGCGTATCTCAATGATGTACGATGCGGCTGGAACATCTGCCCCTGATATTAATTAAACCACATCGATAAACAACTAGTTACTAGACAGTCTTTGCAATATACAGGTGTTTTACACTGTAAGCTATTTGATGAATAATTTAATTTATAATCATGGTTTTTTTAAGTAAAAAATAAGCCGAATTTGATATGAATGGATGAAGACAGATACAATGTGTATTAAGTAAAAAATAATCCGAGTTTCATATGAATAGGTGAAGACAGATACAATTATATGTATAGAGGTACATCATTGTACCAGGGCACATTTACATAACCGGGGACTCGATCCATCCTCTTTTCCATTTTTTTTATGGTATAAGTCGGCAAACGAGCAGACGGATTACCTGATGGTAAGCAATCGGCGCCGCCCATGGACACCTGCAACACCAAATGGGTTACGAGTGCGTTGCCGGCCTTTAGGGGATAGGGGTTGCGGATAAAAGGAAACGGGAAGAGATAGGCGAAGGGGAGGGATTGGGCCTCCGGTAACCTCACTCACACGGCGACACGGTGTTTCACGCCGGTATTCTGTGAGGCCGTGGTATCACTCCGGTCGAGCCGACCCATTCGTGCCGAAGCTTGGCTCTCCCACACTTAAACCATTCCACCTACTTATCTAAAATCCTAATCTCTAAAAGGCCAGCAACGCACTCGTAACTTCTTTGGTACTGTGTATCCATGGCCATGCTTCGGCACGTACATATAAACCGGTTCGACTGGAGTCGAAGTGATATTACTACGACCTGTAAGAATAATCGTGTCTTCCACCCCCAATCCCCAAATCTTCTGCAACGCGCTTCTAAGCCCTTTTGTGTAGGGATTGTCCATGGGTGGGGCCGATTGCTTACCATCAGGTGATCCAGGGCGTTTATCGACCTATCGTATACCATAAAAATTTTTAGACGCTAACTTTTACCTGCCCTAATTGACTGGGTAACCACTCAGTACCCTTCAAACAGTTTTACCTAACCTTGTAAAACTGTTTGAAGGGTACAGAACCAAAAGTGGACGAATCTGCTAAAATGGCGATTTTAATAATACAATGGATTGGTAATTGGGTCACTGAACCTTTTTTTCTTCTGGGTCCCCATTTGAACAAATATTAAATGACTTTCGTCCGGTTCTACCAAATTTATATGACGTCGACCGTCCGCGTTAGCGACATTTTGCATTGGTCTTGTTCACTGATAACAATGTAATGTCACAAATCACTTGCAAGAGATTAGAATTATTAAAATAGTTACAGGCGCTATCTTAATTTACAATTCTACTTAACGGAATTTTTAATTATGTTTTTTTTATTACATTTTGTATTAATGTTAAGACGTGCATAAAAATGAAACAGTGGACTGTATTAACATATGTGTAAGGTGGTTTAAAAATGCCGTTAAAGTTTGTAGTCGTGTAAACGTGAAATAGTGACCCAACATTCTTCATTATGACGTAGATTGACAAACGAGCAAACGAAACGCCTGAAGGTAAGCAATCAGCGCCGACTATGGACACCCAAACAGCTACGTGAGCTTTTTCGGCCTTTTAAAGGATTAAGGATTTGTGGATTGGGGATTTTGGGGATTGAAGATGGACGGGGTATTGGGCCTCCGGTGCCCTCATGACACGCAACTGGCTGCCGTGCAACGTGTCGCGGGTTCGATTCTCGCTCGGAACAACGCTTTGTGTGATCCACAAATTGTTGTTCCGGGTCTTGGTGTCATGTGTATGTTTGTAACCGCACCCACAACACAGGGGAATATCCCAAAGCGAGGCAAAGTTTATATAAAAAAAGAAAAAAAAGAAAAAGAAGTAAATTGTAGTTAAATTTTTCATTAAAAGTTAAAATCTGTGAAAAGCTAAGCATAGCACGCACTGTCAATCCACCCTATAAAAAGTGATGCAGTTTTTTTTATTAATTATAAACCTCCCATTAATATGTACGGGTATCGTAAATTAAATCTGAGCGAATAAAACTATTAAATTAACTGGTGCAACGAAACGTGTAGTTTGCGTGTCTTGTAAATCTTACATATAATACTATGTGCGGAGGTAGTTTGATCTATCCAGTGTCCTGTGCAGCAGGAGAAGAAGTCTTCTCCAGTCAGTCTCAGTCTCAGTCTCAGTCTCAGTCTCAGTCTCAGTCTCAGTCTCAGTCTCAGTCTCAGTCTCAGTCTCAGCCTCAGTCTCAGCCTCAGTCTCAGTCTCAGTCTCAGCCTCAGCCTCAGTCTCAGTCTCAGTCTCAGTCTCAGTCTCAGTCTCAGTCTCAGTCTCAATCTCAGTCTCAGTCTCAGTCTCAGTCTCAGTCTCAGTCTCAATCTCAGTCTCAGTCTCAGTCAGTCTCCTGTATACTAGGAGAAGGGTGGTGCTTCTTAATCGGTCTGCCCCTCTGTCCCACTCAAGTGTCAGGTAGTGTAATGTCTTCGGTCAAAACGAGTAGTCGGATTACCTGATGGTAAGTAATCAGCGCCACCCATGGGCAATCGAGGTATCTCAATACCAAAGGAGGAGGAGGTTTCTACAAGTGCGTTGCTAGTCTCTCGTGGGTTGTTGGGATTTACGGATAAGTGATTTGAGGATAAAGGTTGGGGAATAGGGTTGGGCCTCCAGTAACCTCACTAACACGAAGAAACAACGTAAGTATTGCTTGACGCCGGTTTTCTGTGAGGTCGTGGTTTCTTTAGTTTTACAATGAAGGTCTCGTTAGGTAACTTATGGCTAGATTTGTACAAAAACAGAAAGTACCTAATTTTTAGGCCACGAAACACAAGCGAAACACAACACTACTTACACCTGATAAAATTGCAGTTCGCTTTTTTGTCATTGAAATTTTAAATCTTGAGAAATGACTAGATGCCATGGTTGATTAATGTCCGAGCCCTGCAAACGCTTTTAAACGGAATGATAATGTCCAATGGTTCAAGAAATTTGACATTTGTGTTCCGATACCCGCATGAAGAAAAGAGGTGGTAATAATTCTGCTCAACCGTCGACACATGTCGACAAAAAACAAAATCCAACAAACTAAGTCATTAATCAAATAACACAAGTACAGACCTAAGTCGACCGAATCGATGTCGAAAACCACACAATCGATTGTAAAATCGAGATGGAATCGAATGCTAACATTCTGTATGTGGCGCTCGAAATAAACTTTTGATCTAGAGCAGGTAGATTTAGTGTGTTCAGTCTGTAGGGTGCTTGAACATTTAGCTACATTTCAGAAAGAGCTTTAAGATATTGTACCGCGACCCCCCTGATTGACAGGAGAAGGAACGGGGGGGTTTTTAGTCAGTAAGAGTCTGATGCTCCCTCTTGCCCCACCTAGGGCAGGCGAAAACATTTGATAATTTCCTCTCCTCAAAAAACAGCTACTAGACCAAATACCCTTGTAACTACTTTACCAATTTTTTACTATCGGTTTTTATAATAGCGCGGTGCCAGTTCCCGGTAGAATATCATTTAGCACCCCCAGTTGAATATTGGATCTGAAGAGAGCTCCATCTATGGTGGCCTGATGACTCTTTAAAGACCTCTAGACTTCTAGTAACTGAAATAAAGCCAATTCTCAAAATTTAAAGTTATCTTTATAAAAAAAAAATTATTATTAAAAAAACAAAATACCCGACTGCACACTAAAAAAAGAGTAAAACAAGCCCCACAATACAAATTTACTGAATATAATTTATAAATGTTGATGAAAAGCATCGCAGGCGGGGACCAACAGAGGCTTATTTATAGTCATTTCTGTTGTGCACCATTTAGCAGAATTTTCGTTGGTGGCGGTCAAGGTGGTCCCCGCCTGCGATGCTTTCCATCAACATTTATAAATTATATTCAGTAAATTTGTATTGTGGGGCTTGTTTTACTCTTTTTTTAGTGTGCAGTCGGGTATTTTGTTTTTTTAATAATAATTTTTTTATTTATAACTTTTTAGCTGTTTTTATTTAACGAAAATGTTGTAGATGTAGAAGACTATGTATATGTAAGTACCATTTTAAATTATTTCGACGACATTTGGAACGTATCCTATATTAATTACTCCCGTGATTGAAATGAATCTAATGATACTGCATACATATTTTTTTAAAGGGAAATTTAGAAAAAATATTATTATGTCTTTATCCCGTGGGACTTTTAGGATAAAATGTATCCTATGACACTCCCGTAATCAAGACAAATCTAACGATACCTCATACATCAAAATCTATCAAGCCGTTTAGGCTACAGGAGGTCACAAAGGAAAAGACATACATACATACTTACATACACTCGAAAAACATTACCCTCCTTCTTTGGCAGTCGGGTAAAAAAAGCATCTAATCTTTAGTAATCATATTTTTTGGACTAAAGCTGCCTTTTGCAACTTCTTATAGCTCATATTTTCTCCTCCTTCTTATATCTTCTCCTTCTTTCCCAATTCTCTAATACATATCAACTCTAAAAGGCACGGCAACGCACTTGTGACTTATCTGGTATTTCATTAAGTAACCTGCCAACTCGTTTACCGCCTTATAAAATAAAACATCTCTTAAATAGACCTCTTCAAAACATTTTCCAGTTGTTCTACTGTTATAATCTCACTATAAACTATGCCAATTTAGTTATTTGCGTATAAACACAAAGATTGCTGGTCGTAAAGCGCCATTGTTAGTGGCACGTGCCCGCTGCCGAGTCCCCGCCGGTAACAGTCGTCATGTTTATTGCTAGAGTCAACTTTCATATAAACTTCAACACCGTACTAGACCCTTGTATAGTTAGCTTGTATAGAGAAATCAATAATACATATTTAGGTACTTATTAAAAGTGTTTTACAAACGTTGCCCTGCACTACGTACTGTACCATACCTGTAACAACCAGCCCCGAAAACGGCATTTATCACTCAGAGAAGCCCCTTTTTTGAAGAGGGAAAATCGTCAAATGAATTCCCTCGCAAGACTAAAAACCATTCCGTTCTTTCTCTTGCTCCAGTCCGAAGCCGCGGTTTGCAAGCCCCCGGTGTTGCAAGTGTCCATGGTTGACGCCAATTGCTTAACATCAGAATATCAGTTTTATTTGCATCCCTATCACATAAAACATGTTTATGGCTCCACAGCAATGGCTCTTCGTCTCTTCGTTTAACTTTTCTTTCTGAGCGTAAACCTGGAAAATTTCCCTTTCAACTCTCAATGACATGGTAAAATTGCAATAAAATATAAACGCAATCAAGGTTGGAATGCAAAAAGAATTGAAAATATATTATTTTTAATGTATGTAGGTATGACTCATTCGCGAAACTTGTCTTATGACATTTTGTATTTTATTATTTTCAACGCTGACATTTGAAACTCTTGATCATAATATAAATTTAATAATGTATAAACATATCATTATAATGATATATTTTTCAAATTGTTTAGAAAATAGACGCCCAATTATGTGTGATTTATTTGTTTTATATAAAGAGTGGAAATTTGACTGCTTCTTGGATTTGTAACCGTCCGTCATACTTAGTCATAGTAATTTGTTAATTGTTTTCAAGACAAAGTTGTTTTTTAAAGTGGTCATTTAATGTCTTTGAGTACAACAATTTTTCTAAAACAACAACACAATTTTTCTTAAACAACAACACAACAACAATTTTTCAAAATCATTTTTCTACTGCACAGCTCTGGTTACTTTGCTTCGTGTACTAGAATTGTTTAGTCAGCTTGATACTGACTTGAATTTCTAGTTAACTGTTTCGAATCACTAACGTAGAAAAGCGATTAATTAGCCGAAGAATCCCATTAAAATTGTTTTTTTTTTAAATATGACTACATCCAAGATTATCCTGGGTTAAGACTGTAAATAATGTACGATAGCCCCGGCTTGGTGCAGAAGAAGGCACGGAGTGGTTTTTATTTTAATATATCAGACCCTCTCGCCTCTCCCAGGTCAGGGTCGAGAGGGAAGACAATTGGTGTTTGGTTCCGTAGAAAAAAACACACTAGTGTTTTCCTATGTCGTAGATGTGTTTACAAACATACAATGCACATACACATTACACTGAGACCCAACACAATAATCTATGGATCAAACAAAGAGTTGTTCCGTGCGGGAATCGTTTCAAAAACCACCAGGCAGCCATGTCTGTTCTGTTTCTATTTTTAAACTCTTTTTTTAAAAACCAACGCATCGTATTTTTGCGAAATCAAAACGATGATGAACACAAATACTCGTAAGTTTAAAAATTCACAAGTTTACTCTTGGAAACAGAAAATGATTCAGATTTCGACTTATTCGGAATCAAATCAGACGGCGGACATAAAACAGACTGTTTCATTGCTTGTTAATGTCAGAATTTTAGCGATGTAGGTATATCTGCCATGGAGTAAATAAAACGTCTTACTATTTTTGCTTATCACTTTCCCGCTGAAGTATTTATTCTATTCGTTGTGTGCGCGATAACAGCGCCCCTAGTAGCCGCAACTATTCAGGACTTGTCATCTGTCAAATCATGTCAACTAGATGATAAAATACTGATTTTCGACTAGTTTTTCACTGAAATTGAAAAAAATAGTGTAAAAGTGAGTGTGTATATTACACCTAGCGGTTTTCTGTACGGGGGGATTTGAATTTTAATTCTCTTCACAGCAGCTATCCATTTTTGTCTTTACTGTAATGTCTACTTTGATGTTGGAAACGAATAAAACTTGCACGAATTGTTTTTCCCATTGTTAGCCATAGCCATATCGCAATTTTTTACGTTTTTACTTAAAATTATAAAGGAAGTTATGTAAATAAAGCAATTTGACACATGACAGTCCAGAGTAAATTCACATTTCTGCCACGTCGTGCGCTACGATCGATTTGCCGTTCCCCATCACCCGCTTCGCACGTAGCGAATAATAAAACCTATTTTCTTTTAGTTTAATTTTAATCTACGTCACTTCCGAAATTCATTAAAATAGAAGCCGATGGTTGGCGCTACTGGTAACAGGTGAAATTGATTCTCTTTGTGTGGGATTTTCCAGGTCTGGGTGTAGCCGCTGGGGTTGCGGGGTAAGCTCAATAAGGCAAGCAAGCGGCATCGGCATAGAGAAGAAAAAGGAAGGGGGGTTTTAGTCAGTAAGAGTCTGACACTCCCTCTCACCCCATGGCCATGGGCGGGAGAAGTTATTTAATGATTTTCCTCTCACAAAAAAGATCTGGGTGTAGCCGGAGTTTCGGAAGCTGCAAGCGCAATAATGTACCACGACCTAGGCCTGGAGCAGGAGAAGAAATGTGAATTTTAGTCAGTTAGAGTCTGACACTCTCTCTTGCAACACCCACGGCGAGAGAAATCGTTAAATAATAAAATAAAATAAATTTATTGATAACTTTCTACAAAATGACTATTGAAATAATTTCTATATATTTTTGAAAATTTTTAAATGGCCGTCAAATGTCATATTGTTTCCTCTAGCTGTAAGGTTTCCGAGGATGTTAAAATAATTAATGAAATTATTATCCTACATACGATATAGGAGAAAATCCTAGTGTGGGGCAACGTTTCAAAAAAAAAATGTCCTGCCCAGAGTAAGACGAGAGAGAATGTCAGACTCTTACCGACTAAAAACACTACCGTTCCTGTTGGAACGGTAGTGTTCCTGTTGGAACGGTAGTGTTTTTAGTCGGTAAGAGTCCAAACTTATATTATTCGAAAGTAACTCTGTCCGTCTGTCTGTCTGTCTTTTCTTCACGCCTAAACTACTGAACCTATTTGTGTGAAATTTTGTACAGACATAGTTTGAAACTCGAGAAAGGACATGGGATAGTTTTTGAGCCAAAAATCTGCAGGAAGTAACTATTCCATGAGAACAAAGTCGCGGGCAAAAGGCAGTTAATTAATAATTTAAAAAAAGACGAATCAATGAACACATCGTTATATTGTTTAATTACCTTTTTATTTGATTTGTTCTTATTTCACTTTCTACGACACAGCTGCTAAAACTAATTTCAAATACTTTTTAACAAGCTTAGGTATTTTATTATTATAATATGTATTTGTATAAAACCGGACAGACACAGATTATATAAATACCTAACGAGAATGTACGCAAAAAGTTGATAAATAGTTTAAGCACTCGAGGCAACAGACAGATAGACAGACCAAATTATGTTGTATTTTATATTTCAAAGTGTGATCAAATACGAGTACAAGCCAGTACGAACGAGTAGGAAGGATTCCGTATCTCCGATATTCGGTAAAAGAAAAGTTAAATAGAGTCTGCTCGTTTGCCTTCTTATCCACAATTACATTAAAAAATCTTATAATACTACATGTATCAAGATCAATTTCATTCATTCGATCAAAGTATATGTATAATATTTACTATTGTTTTTCTTTCTTTATTCATATGTAGTTTGTTCTTACAGAAGTATATTATCCCTATAAATATACAGGGTGTAAAAAGACACTTAACGAAGCCGAAAGCCACGTAATCTAACAATTATTTGGATCATTTTTTTCTTTTAGACCATAGCTGGGACTCCACGTGTTCTCGAGATATTGAAGGTCAAAGATGCATTTTTAGTTTTTATTTTTGCGCAATCGAATTCTAAGTTTTATTACCAAACTTTTTTCCAAACAAACATTACCAGAATTTTCGATTTTTCTAAATAAATTACGCATTTGAAGTTACGAACAGTAATGTACGTAATAAATAAATGCAGACCCGCACAAAAAACATCGTGCATCTCAGTAGGATTTTTATTTTACAGAATTGTTTTGTTGTTGCGAAGTAAAACGTCGACCTACGTACTTGTCACAGCGTTTTCATGCTAAGCTGTGAACCTACGCACACAATGACACGAAGCCCGTTTGCTTTACATTGCGCGCAATAAAGTTATTATTTTTTTGATACCTAAAAATAAAAGTCGTTTCCAGTGATAATTTTAGCGTAAAGCTACTTAGTTAGAACTGCAGTATGCGTAGTTAACGGCTTCGTTAAGTGTCTTTTTACACCCTGTATATAACACATTTTAATATGATATTTTTTTTAGCTTAATTTCTGTACCGATTGGCGTCATACGTTAATGTCGGCCATCGCTGAGAATCAGCGCTGCGACACTGTCTCGCATAGGTTATATGCTGAGCTATGGTAATTTTGCTTGCTTGTGACGAATATTTTACTCTAAGTTTATTCTTTTGTTATATCGTTTTAGCATATTTTTGTGTTGTTTTTTGTTCACTTGTTTGTTTTGTGTCCTATCCTAGACACGAATAATTGCGTTTGTTCGTTTGTTTAAGTTTAAGTATGCTTTATTAAAAAAGTAACCTAAAGTATATGCCATTTCAACAAGAACGTAAAGGTAACAAAACTGTCATAGTTTCGCACCTATATGTCTACAGAGAGCGTAGTGCGAGTATCCTTTAGTTAAATTAATTACCGACACATTTATGACATACGGCGCTCTGATTGGCCATCTAAGAGCTAGCCAACCAATAAGAGAGCTAAACGCGATAACGTTCGATTGCGTTTACGTTACTGTGCGTTGCCAACTTAAGTTATGGTCTCTTTAAATACAGAAAGAACCATAAAAGTAATTCTAGTGAATAGTATTTGTTTTTCAGTGCTTTTGGTAGTACAAAAACTGCCATAATTTCATGTGACAATTGCCGGCTTAATTCAGATAATTTGAAAACCAGTGTCGCAAAAAATTGCTAATCACATTGTTATTCAGACCAGCCATCATCATCAAAGACATCAAATTATTTGCTTTGTTTTGTATATTTTGACAAGAGTAACAATTTAATGTGTCCAACATTGCATACATAACAACACAACTTCGAGGTGGCCCGGAGATTCGAAACCTGACAAGTACCAATGTGGCTTTTATCGAGTTACATGTACTTTCTACGATTATTTAGACAGCGCTGACATACGGTGAAGGTAAACAGATTGACAACATTGACTTAAAATTTCTAATTATAAGTTAGAATCACCAATCCTCATTCGCGGGTCTGCAGACGGCGAGTAAAGGCAACTCGCCGCCCGACCAGAGCCAGACCCTAGAGTACGGCGTGTAGAGTACCGCGCACGCCTCAAAGAGCCAATTCAAAATTTGATGATTTTCCACTCACAAAAAAAAACAATCCGCATTGAGTAAGCGTGGTGATTATTGCTCAAACCTTCTCCTTGTCAGAAGAGGCCTTTGCTCAGCAGTGGGCACTTATAGGCTGATAATGATAATGATGATGATGTGTATGTTCCAGATTAGGTAAATGATAATTAAAAAGTGACGCATGGAATAAAAATAACTTGGTAGGTTCGTTCCTTATTTATGTGACAAGAGATCTTTACTCAACATTGGAGGAAATCAGAGGAAGATGTAACAAATAATAGATTGATTGCATACCTACAAGGCAAAAGCAATAATGTAAAAAGCAAGAATAAAAGAAAACTTATAGATGTTGCGTATATTTCTCAATGCATTTTAGGTTTATTTATTCATTGAAAAGCGGACATCAAATATTTTAGCACAATAAAATATTAATCGCAGTCACTTAGATTTTGTCTGATTTACGTTTAATTGCTTAAAGTAATTTTCATTACAAGAGCATATCGTCAACATCAAAAAAGAAATCGTTCCCTTTTACGTACTTCGATCCATATGTAAATAAATAATCAAAAGTAGGGTCATTCCTTGTCGTTCTTCCCAATATTGTTGTTATTAAAATATTGATTTCTTTTCTTGCAATTCTAGTCATTTTATATTTAAGTCTTCTTATTGTATTATCAACAAATTCTGATAGTGCTCTAATACTATTATCATCGTCATCATCATCATTTGCCCATCTTTCAATGGCTGAAATAATAATATTGAAATCTATATCAAGTATATTATCATCATCTGAGTCCAGTGTCTTATCGATTATGTCGAAAAGGATCCGTGTAGCTAAAGTTCGAAGTTTTTGATTTGTGTCTGTCTTTGAAATTATTTTATTTCTTTGAGAGATTACTGATTTAAGAACAGCCAAGAATTCTTTCACACTGTTTACGTCACGAGATATATCATACAGTTTCGATAGCATTATATTTCGTTCTTCTTTTTCCATGGCAATTTCAAGAACATCAGCATGATTCTTTGTAATATTTGACAGTATTTTAATAAAGATATTGAATTTGTCATTAGGAAGTTCCAATATCTGATTAATAACATCTCCTAAACGACTAACAAAAGTGGAATACTCTTTACAAACTTGATATTTATCACAAAGATCATTCAATTTACGTTTTTTCTCAATAATCATGTTCTTCTTCATTTTATCATTTATAGCCTGCGTAGTTGTATTCTGAGGCTCTATCTGGTAACGCATAATAATATCATTCAGTAGCTTTTCCTCTCCATTTTGCAATAGCCGGCAGTATGTATCGACCATATCTAGGTACAAATAATCTTTTTCAATAAGTACCAGATTATTGTGGTCAGTAACAAAATTATAGTAATCGTTTAAACGGGTCATGTAATCATCGTTTACGGCTCTCACTAAATCTGTAATATTTTTATCAGATAGATTTAGTTCATACAGTATTTGTTTGCCAATTTTTTCAAAAGTCTTCATTCCTGTTTGTTTAAGTTGAAATGTGAAATCTTCTAAATCCGGTGAATAATATTTTTTACTTAAATGGTTGACGTTAATTTTTTGCGGAGCCGACTTTGCGTGGGAAAAGCTGCTTAATTTACCTCTAGATGCAAAGTCTCCAGGTAAACTGAGTTTATTTGCGATATTTTGATTTCGGTTCAAAACTTTAAGAAGTTCTTTACTTACTTTTAGTACATCTTCCAATTGTATGTCGTTACATAAGGAAGCAGATATTGCTGGAAACATATTAAAATTGTTTTATAATTATATCACACTCCTCGAGTGTCCGCAACTGTCTCCTTTTTCAGAATGTGGGGTCTGAAATTGCAGCACATGGCTGTAGGCTCATGCATCCCCTCCTCCCCACTTTTAAGAGACTCAAAAACAATGTTGACAAGTGAGTGGTACATTGAAGCGAAAAAAAAATGAATTTAGATAATTCATTTTCAGAAAATAGTTATTTCATTTGCTTGAAAAAACATCATATTGGTTTTTACATAACAGCAAATTAAGAAAAAACAGGTATCAAAATTAAAATACAAAAATATTAACTTACCATGGAAAATTAATAAACTCTTTATCAACATGGTTATAAGAAATATCGTATTTTCTGCTCGTTTCTCTTCACAAAGTGAAAATTATCAAACACATAATAAAATAGCTACTAAAACGATATCAGTGTGTATGTATGTAAATGTAATTATTGTTAATGACCGTTTTTATTGCATTAATTTAAACTCTATCTACAACTGAATAAAATTTTGCAAAGCTTAGAAAATTCATTAGTGCACACATTTTTTTAATGATAGTAAGCAATCAATGCCGTCTATGGACATCCGGAGGAGTCGGAATGACAAAACGGCCTCTCAGAAAACCGGCGTGAAACAACTACAGCGTTGTATTTTGCTGTGTGGTGAGGTTACCGAATGCCAAATCCTTCCCCTTCCCCAATCGCTAAATCTCCGCAACCCTAATCCCCAAAAGGCACTCACCGGCACTCATAACTCCTCTTGTGTTACGGCTGTCGTGAAACCAGTTTGTGGCCAAAAAAATGTTTTTTTTTTGTATTATGTATTTTTAATCTGTTAATATTAAAATAATACCTAAGTACCTACCTAGCTACCTAAGTATTAATTTACCAAATTAAGTATACTTAGTCGGGTCATAAGTTCTGTCACAAACTTTTGATGTAATAACTTATACGCCTTTTGACAATTATTTAAAAATTATATATGAAATGAAAGGTCATTAAATGTACAATATAATTTTATTTACATTATTCGAAATGCCCTCCCCCATTTTGAACACATGCCCTTAATCTACGCGGCCAGTCATCGATCGCTGCACGCACCACATTCATATCTATGTCTGCCGCTGCTTTAACCAGAGATGCTCGGAGAGACTCCAAATTCGGGTGAGGTTTAGCACAGACTTTTTCCTCCAAATATTGCCATATCTTGTAGTCCAGTGGGTTTAAATCTGGACTAGAAGAGGGCCAGTCTTCATGCCGGATGAAGTCAATTCCACGAGCGATCAACCAGTCTTGCGTACTTCGTGCCTTATGAGCCGGTGCAGAGTCCTGTTGGAATATCCAATGCCTGTTCCTGAACATTGTCTGAGAAAGAGGTTCCACTATGTTTGTTAGGACAGTATTTTGATACACTTCGGCACTAGTTCTCACACCTTTTTCACAGAAAAACACCTCAGTTACGCCTGAATATGAGACTCCAAGCCAAACCATGAATGAGGAAGGGTAATGCCCACGCTGGACCCTCGCAATACGCGCGCTTGCTTCTTCACTGCTGTGGGCATACACCTTATCATTTTGTTTGTTAAAACTTTCTTCAATAGTAAAAATTTTTTCATCCGAAAAAAGAATTTCGCGGTATTTTTTTCCCGCGTACCGTCGTAGCAAAGCGCGGGATCTGTCTAGCCTAATTTTTTTTAAACGCTCGTTCAAAAAATGTCCTGTCTTTTTACGATAAGCTCGTAGTCCCAGGTCTTCATTTAGTACTCTTTTAACAGTGGTTCTGCTTAGCCCCATCTGCAGAGCTAGGATTTTTTGTTTACGTACGGGATTTCGTTCGATTCGCGCCTTCACTGCTTTGATGACCTTATGTGTCCGAACTGTGCGAGGTCGGCCGCTTCTCTTACGATCTTCGAAGCTTGACTCTTCGGTGTATCGTTTGATAGTACGATAAACAAACCGTAACGTTATTTTCAAATTTTGAAGAATATTGAAAATGTCTTTTGGCGCGTAACCACAGCGGTGCAACGCGATAACCGCGATTCTGTCTTCTTTATTCGACCACTCCATATTTAAAAATGAATAAAAAATAATTTCTTTTTTATTTTCTACAAGCGCGAAAGTTCTATTTTTAAAATAAGTCGAAGAATTTCTGGCCAGTAATCGAAAATTAAAAATATAAGGTTTTGACAGAACTTATGACCCGACTAAGTATATTTGAAATACATTACATAAATAGAATGCAGGCAGTTATTAATCCTATTTCTACCTACATATCTGCCTAAGGCTCTCCGCACACTGTAAATCATTCGCAGTATAGTTTAGACAGCATTGCGGATAGTTAGCAATGCCCTTAGGAAAATTTAGGGTTGGCACTTGTATTTGTTTTATTGAAAGCAGTTTCACAATTTTATTTTTTAACTAATGTAGGATTGTAAGCATAAGTAAGTGTGAGAAAGAGAGAGTTGTGGAAGAACCTTTCTCAGGTTGATTTTGTATCTTCAAATTCATCAAATAACTTACCCCCCGTTCCTTCTTCTACTCTGGGACGAGGCCGCGATGCTTCATTGCGCTTGCCCCGCAACCCCGGATGAACATCAGCCCTATAGGTCCCCGTCTGTGGTGTTCTAATGGCTCTATGAGGCGCGCGCGGATGCTACGAGAGAAATTTGAAAAAAAACAGATGGTGTTACGTAAATAAATTCATTGTTTCATTCATGTGTGTGCTCTGTGCTCGGTTTTCTTAGTACGAAAAGTAATGAGCGGTCGAGAGTCTCATTTCTTGTAGCAACCCTATTAGAAATGGCAAGGGCGCGTGCGCATTGCCCAAGCAACGCAACGGTACATTACCATTTTGTTATCAACCTACCTTACACACTGGATAAGTGCCAATTATTGTTTGTCATTGTTTAATTCTAACTCTTTACAATAATAACTACGCGAAATTGAAATTGTTCGTTTGCTTGTTGCACTTTCACTCGTAAACTGCTGTATCGATTTCAATAAAGGTACTGAGATAGATTGGGATACGAGAAAAACTTTGGAAATATCATGAAAAGGTAAGTAGCTACATTATCTTCAGGTGATAGGACTGAGCTTCGACTGGTTTGCTGCTGTAATCTGTTTTAGAAAATCGTCATCTTTGAAATACGAACTCCAATCATTTTTTATGGCATATGGTTTTTTTTTTTTTTTTTTTTGTGAGGGGAAAATCATCAAATGACTTCTCCCACCCAGGGCCGGGCAGGAGGGAGTGTCAGACTCTTACTGACTAAAAACCCCCCTGTTCCTTCTCCTGCTCTGTGCCGAGGTCGCGGTACCTTATTGCGCTTACCCCGCAACCCCGGCTGAACATCAGCCCTTTAGGGCCCCGTCTGTGGTGGTCTATTGGCTCTTTGAGGCGCGCGCGGAACGCTACGCGCCGTACGCTCGGGCCTGGTTCTGGTCGGGCGGCGAGCTGCCCTTACTCGCCGACCGCAGGCCCGTACTTACGGTGGCCGGAGATCGTCCCTCGATCCCCGACGCCCGTAGTGTCGCCAGTTGCGGCTGCTGGGGCGTGAGGAGGAGGATTGCTCCCTCACGCGGGCCGCCTCTCTCTTTGCGAGCATGACTGCTTCACAAAAGGAGGAGACGGCGTCCCAGTTCCTCTCACTCCGCACCATGGCCTCGACTAAGGCCGGGCGCGAGAGGTCGCCGCCGCCGATCACTTCCCTGAGGATACGGCGGTGATGGCATATGGTAGCAGTGTGGTGGTGACCGTTAAACCTAGATACAACCGCGTTACTAGCCTTTTGCGGAGTGCTTGATTTGAGAATTGGGGATGGTAGGGGTGAAATGATTGGGCTCCCGGAAATATCAAATATGGTGAAACATAACTAATGGCCTTGGTGTCACTGCCTTCGAACCGGTACATTCATGTCGAAGTTTAAGTTTGGGAGAGCCATGCTTCGGCACAAATGGGTCGGCTCGACCGGAGTGATACCACGGCCTCACAGAAAACCGGCGTGAAACAAACACAGTATTGGGTTTCACCGTGTGAGTGAGGCTAGAGTGCATGTGTGTACCAGAGGCTTTATCCTTTTTTCCCTCCCCCAATCCCTAAATCTCCAAAAGGCCGGCAAAGCACTCGTAACTCCTCTACTGTTTTGGGTGTCTATGGGCGGTGCTTACCATCAGGTAATACGATTCCTCGTTTGCCGCCATATCACATAAAATATTTCGAAAGACGTAATCAAAGCAAATAAGACATGCATGTATGCATTCTCCCACCTCAACGTAAGTATCTTGAGAAAAAAAAACATGAAATAATTCATTTCTAAAAATACATCCCCCGTTAAATCGCGTAGGTACACTTAGATCAAACACTAAGATAAAACTAAATAAATTTAATATTCATCTGTAAACTTATCAAATCTTACCGCAACAAACTAATGGCAAAGATTAATGTGATCTCTCCTATCTTGCAGGACTACATGTCACAAACCGATCCTAGCGCCATCTAGCGGGACCTCGTATGATTAGCTGGTCGTTATCAAATGTCCACAGATCCTTAATCCTGTTCCTGTGCATCTATCTGGTGACTCCTGATGTGGTACATGCTTGTGACGTCTGAAGCTTATACGGTGTCCTGTGTAGTATAAGTAATGAGATGTAGCGGAAAAGGTGTTACGTTTTTAAAGATTAAAAAAAAATACATATTAATAACAGATCTTTTTTGTGACAGACTTGGGAATGAGATGCTGTAAAAATGACATGTAGGTACATATCTATACTAATATTATAAAGAGGTAAAATTTGTAAGTTTGTATGTAGGGGGTAATCTTTCGAACCGCTGGTCGGATTGCCAAAATTCTTTCACTGATAGATAGCTACAATGTTCCTGAGTGCTATAAATGGAGCTGATGTATGTATGTATGTATGTATGTCATTTATTTCTCAGTACATGGTACACATAGATTTTGAAATTTACAAAGTTCCACATATACTACCGTAACCGGTGTAGAAATATAAAATTGTATTAACAGTAATATTTTATGTCTAATTTAAGAACAAATTTTTAAATTAATATCATTGCATTTGGAAATCATTAAAATAATTAAAAAAACAAAAAAAAAAGAAATAAAATAAATTTAAAATGTCAGTAAATTAAGATGTCATTAAGAAGTAATTATATCTCAAACAATGTAGTCAAAAATTGCAAAATATACTTAAGAGTCAATACACAACAAATAAATACGGAAGTCAGGTGAGCAATTTACAAATAATAATTTCAGTCAAACATGGAGGCAATTGCTTAGCATGATGATACAATGCTCTAAAAAGCTGCATACCTACAGGTGCTGTTACTCAGAAAGTCTCTAGTAGAATAAAAACTTTCCTGAATCAACCACTTTCGCAATGCACGACAAAACGGTTTATATGGGAGCTCGCTAATTCCTCGGGGTAGACAGTTAAATATTAGCGGCGCCATATATGCACAACTTTTCCTGTAAAGCTCCAGTTTAGGGATGGGCATTTTTAGGGGCAGCTGAGTGATTAAGCGTCTATTAGCATTATCATTAGCAACGAACAAATAACTGTGACATTTCACAAACTTAGCCACTTCGTAAATATGAATACTAGGAACAGTCAATAGACCGTTAGATTTAAATACGGTTTTGCAAGAATCCGACCATCCCATGCCAAACAACGCACGAACACACTTTTTTTGGGCCACAAAAACCCTCATAATTTCAGAGGAGTTCCCCCATATGACTATGCCATAACGTATTATGGAACAAATATATGCATGGTACACCATAATGGAACTTTGATTTGATGTTACCTCTTTCATTTTCCGAAGTGCAAAGACAAACTTGTTAATTTTTTTGCATAAGTTGTTAATATGTTCCTTCCACGTAAAATGAGAGTCAAGAGTTACACCTAAAAATTTGGCATTATGTATCTGTTGAATAAGCGTGTTATTATAACTTAAATTTAATTCGATATTTTTACTTTTAAATGTTTTAAAATGAATAACTTTAGTTTTTTCTATATTTATTTTTAATTGGTTGACATTAAGCCATCGCATAACATCATCTAAGGTTTTATTTATTTCAGCTTTATATGTACTTCTATTTTTGCAATCCAAAATAACTGTTGTGTCGTCTGCAAACAAGACACAGTCGTGTATAAGCGCACGTGGGAGATCATTGACAAAGATAAGGAATAACAAAGGCCCCAAAATACTACCCTGAGGTACACCAAAATAGTTGACTCTTGCTTGAGAATCGAATTTTACTACACTATTACTTTTTTCGTCAAATTTAGTTATTCTAGTGAGCTGTTTTCTATCTTGCAAATATGAACGAAACCATGTCAGTGATGAACCTCTAATTCCACAATTATCTAGTTTCGAAAGGAGTAAGGAATGATCTACAAAGTCAAAAGCTTTACTCAAATCCAGTAATAAGGCGGATGTGGGAATGCCATTGTTAATATTTTCAATAATGCTTTTTACTAATGTGTAGGTGGCCAACTGTGTAGATCTGCATCTTCTGAAACCAAACTGTTCCTTTGCTAAAATGTCATATTTATCCAAGAAATTCAAGACTCTTTTGTACATAATTCGTTCAAATACCTTGGATATAACAGGGGTAAGTGCAATAGGTCTGTAATTGTTTCTTTCGAGCTTTGATCCTTTTTTGTATAAAGGTTTTATTATTGCCAATTTTAATGTTTCTGGAAAACAGCCTTGTTCTAGAGAAAGATTAATTATGTGTGTTAACGGTTCTGCTATATACCTAGCTACAGTTTTCAACAATATTGAGTTAATATCGTCGTATCCTGCAGACTTAGAATTTTTTAACGAATTAATTGTATTAAAAACTTCACTTGGATTCGTGGGATTTAAAAATATACTATTTGCATTTGTTTCAACATTATATGTATAGGATTTCTTGCTAGCTTGTGTATTATTATGCACTATATCTATAAAAAAATCATTAAATGAATTGGCTATGTCCAACCCAGTGATTGCCAGACTATCACCATCGATAATGTTCTCTATACATTCACCACTACAACCATTATTACCTACATGACGTTTTACTATTTCCCATGCAGCTTTACCTTTATTTTTAGAATAAGCAATGTACTTAAGATTGCTTAGACTTTGAAAGCTGGTGATACACTTTTTCAGCAATTTCGAGTATTTTAAATAAGATTTTTTATTTGCTTTGTTTTTATTTAAGTAATAGTTGTATCGCAAGATTCGTTTATTTTTACAACTAATTTTTAAACCCTTTGATATGTGAGTTAATTTGCCACGTCTAAAACTATGTTTTACTTTAATCAATGGAAAACAAAGCTTGTAAAACAATGTCAACTCACTATGAAGTGCATCAAAAGCTTCGCCTGTATCCGTCATATGATAGATTTCCGAAAAGGTAATGCTACTAATGCAATCAACATACTTAGCCAAGTTACTTTTTCCAATGTCATATGTTGTAGTAAAGTAGTGCCCAGTTATATTGCCTTGCGGTTTAATCACAAAATCAATTGTTTGAGCAGTATTGTGGTCTGAGAGACAAAAGTTATGGGTTTTTCCTATTGCGGTGGAAATATTACTCAAAATGTTATCAATACATTTGTTTATCCGTGTGGGTTCCCGAATATGACATTGAAACCCATAGCCAGATATGGTTTCTACGAATTGAGTACTTATGTTGTTGTTCACCAATGTATCAATATTAAAGTCACCACATATTACAATTTTATGTTTTTTCCGCCTTAGGATAGTCAAAGTTTCGTTAATCTTTGCAAAAAATAAATTTATATTAGAGTTTGGTGTTCTGTAAATACAAATAATTATAAGTTTCAACTGTGTGACTTCTAAGCAACAAATTTCAAAATGTTTTTCAATACTCAGTTCATTAATAGCCCGCAACTCAACCCCCTGCAAATCGTTTCTTAATAATATACAAGTGCCCCCTCTCCGTTGCATTTTCCGAGAATAAATAGAAGATAAATGAAAATTATTTAGTTTCAGATATTGCTCTTCACCCCCGATTATAAAATGCTCCGTCAAGCACACGGCCATAATATGTTCATTTGACGTGTGCAGTTCATCAAGGGCTAGGTCAAGGTCATGCATTTTATTAAGTGCACCCGCTATGTTTTGGTGTAAAATAGTACATGCTATATTTCTACGATTACGATTGCTTACGAAAAAACGGTTTTCGAGAAGTGTCAACAGGATAATTATTTGCCGGCAAATCATATTTAACAGGTGTTTTATTAACCACTGGGAAATAGAAGGGTATTGTGCCTTTACGTGGTCCATGTGCCCGGATTACGGTGGAGAGATAATGTGAGGTAATGTGATGCCTTAAGTTACTAAAAATGGTACTCATGCCACGGTTATTTAGTACACCACTGTGCTTATGGAACATTGT